CAGACAACGCGTGGTCTCCTGTCAGCGGCGAGAGTGAGAGGGAGCAAGAGAGACAGTGAGAGTGCGGAGAGGAGACAGTGAAGGCAGTGACGGGACCGCGAGAGCGTGAGCGGGACCCAGGTGTTCCTGCTCGTATGTCCTTCTTTAGTTCCTGAGGGTTACCGTTCACACACTTCGTTTAGCCACTTCCTTTGATGAGGACGTACAGTGAGGAAGGGGACGCGGCAGAGTAGCCGGAAAGGTAGGGACATGTAGCGTGTAAAGCCTGGCGGCAGCTCCCAGCATGTGATCCGCAGGTTCTCCGTGGTTTTAGCCACAGGGAATGAAGGATTTTCTTTTGCGTGGGGCGCCACTGAAGATTCTGTTGTCCCTGTTTCCCCTCCCCAGGTGTGGGCAACGGCTCTGAGCAATCCCAGCAGAAATCTCTGTTCTGCAGGTGACCTCGTGGCTCGGGTGCAGGGCTGGTCAGCAGGCTGCAGTCTCTGAGCGTAGCTCGATGTAACATCTTAGTTCTCTTGCTTCTTCCCTACGTTACTCTGAAAACAGTTCGTTCACTTGAGGTGTATGTTAATCGCTTGGGAATCAGACTGACCAAGTGACTCCAAGAGTCCTCATTCCCCGACCGTGTGAATGTCCGTGTTCACAGTGCTTCCACTTGCACGTGATGTGACTTTTGTCAGTGAACTCATGTGGTAGCCTAGAAGTTTCAGTGATCTTTTGAAAGTCCTCCACATATCACTGGATGTTAATACGAGGAAGGGTCATCCCTTTATAGATGAAGAAACTTAGATGCGCAGACAGAGCCATTTTGTCAATCCAGTGACAGCTCAATTTAAAAATTATTTAGTGGTTAAAGGGTCACACTCCCCTATGTCTGTCTCATCAGTGGTTCTCTCCTATGGCTAATCTTTGGTAGTGAGTAGGACACAACTGCCACACCCTTTGTCTGGAATTCAGAGTGTGATCAGCCCACAGATCGCTGGCTAGGTCAACTGCAGTCGTCTGCACACGTACAGTTGTTGAAAACCAGTCTCTGAAATTCCAGTTCTCCAAACTGACATGACGTTCTTGTCATGTCAGTGACAGGCACATTTATCTGATGATTTCAAAAGAAACTAAGAAAATGAATTATTCTCACTGTACTTCCTTTTGAAAAGATACCTGATTGATTCAGCTCTTTCTCCATAAGAACTAAGAGTCGTTGCATTTTAGGAGGAGTGTCATTGACCCAAGTGTAATCATGATTGTGTCAGGTCCATTGCAAACAACAGAAATTGAGACTCGGGGCACCTGGGGCAAAAAGGAGTTTGTTGGAAGGCTGTTGGGGGCCTGCAGAGTTGGCGGGAGGTTGACAGCTGGAGGCAGCGTGGAGGCCAGGACATGGGGGCCCCGCAGCAGGCAGTCTCTCAGCCGGAACAGGAACTGTCTGGCCTGGTGCTGCCGCTGTGAGATGAGTGACCTCCAGCCAGTCACCTGCTTGTTCAAGTCCTACATTTCCGGGCTGTCTGCTTGGCTGAGCTTGGGTCACATGCCCACTGGCTGTACTGGGGACAGGCGGGAAGGCCCGACCGCCTGGGGGCTGATGTAGTGTGTGGCCTTCGCTAAGGGTTACACTCCCACCAAAAGTAGAGGGAGAAAGTGTAAAACGAGTAAAGGATAGAGATGGAGTCTGGGTTCCTTTTCCCTGTAAGATATTTGGTAGCAACGGCATCTTTCATTTCTATTTTAAGAATGATTTTAGGTGCGTTCAAATCTCATTTGATCCCCACAAAACTCTGAGCCGAGGATGTCTCAATGGTGGCAGTCCCCGGACCCATCGCAGGTCTTCCACCTTATGATCCAGTGGGTTTGCCACCCTGCGTTCGGCCCGGTCTGTCTGAGTTTGGGCTGCTTTTTCTCACAGGTTACATAAGGACAGGCTCAATCTTTCTGGCCCAGACTCAGGACCGGCTGATCTCCCTGAAGCGCATCAACTCAAGGCTGAAGTACGTATGAGACTAGAAGCCTGTCCTGGCTTTACTGTCACATTGACCTCTGCCAGAGGGCCAGTGAATGTCATTGTCCCCCTGTGTTCTGTGGCAGCGTTATAGGCATCCCTTCTGAGATCATTTCCCTCAAGAGAGTGGCCAAGCTTCACCCTCTCCTCC